CTTTCCCTGGACTGGGACGCTACCCTCTGGGCTGGGCGCTCTGAGGGGAGCCGGCTTGGCCAAGTCCCAAGCAGGTCGTTCTGCCCCGAGAACGTGCGCGCTCGCCTCAGTTGCGGCTCTGTCCCTTGCAGTGGTTTGAGGAGAAACTTCAGGAGGTGGAGTGTGAGGAGCAGCGCCTCCGGAAGCTCCATGCGGCGGTAGAAATGCTCGTCAGCCACAGGAAAGGTACAGGGAGAACACGCAGCTTGGGCTAGCGGCGCTGCCGAGACGCCTGCGTAACACGGAGCAGCGCTCCAGTCTGTTCCCGTGAGCCAGCTCTGTGCTGCCCTCCTGGGGCTGCCCTGGCTCATCCTGTCTGCAGCAGGGAGGAAAGCTGAGCTGGAAAGGGTGGCCCTGGCTGGAATCTCCTGGCCGGGAGGCGTAACGTGCCGCAGGGAAGGGGCAGAGTCAGTGGTGTCTGGACAGTCACTGAGTGAACTCCAGTTCTAAGCTGCCCCTCGGCCGCGTTCATTGGGAACTCGATAGGGAGACACCTGTTGTGGGGAGCAGCAGTGTCACGGCCCCTAGTTTCTGCGTGTGCCTGGCCCCTGGCTTCTGCCCTTCTCTTGCTGCCAGCTGCAGCCGCTCGGCCTTCTCTCCAAGCTCGGGGCCGTTGGGAGCTGGTTCTCTTCCACTCCCCACGTGGGTGATTGGTTGTTACTGACACGAAGCCCCCTTTAGCCGCCCCGCCCCGTGCTGCGCTAACCCTCGCTGGGTGGTCGCTGTCGGCGGCTGCATCGCTTTGACCACCCAGCAGTCGGCTCTGTTCACGCCCTCTCCGTCCCCCCTCAGAGTTAGTACTGAACACCGCCCAGTTCTCCAAGAGCCTGGCCATGCTCGGGAGTTCGGAGGACAACACGGCCCTGTCGCGGGCCCTCTCCCAGCTGGCCGAGGTGGAGGAGAAGATAGAACAGCTGCACCAGGAACAGGCCAACAACGACTTCTTCCTCCTGGCCGAGCTCCTGAGCGACTATGTCCGCCTGCTCGCGGTCGTGAGGGTAAGCAGCCCTGGGGCGGCCGGCAGCCCTCTGCAGCAGAGCGGGGCCGGCCGCAGCGGGGCCCTGGAGGGGGAAAAGCCAGGAAGCAGCCACCTTGGCTCTTCTGGGGGAGGCGCAGGCCCCAGCGCAGTGTGCAGACGGCCTGTGAGATGAAGCTGCACGCTGGGCCCTGCAGAGGCGCTTCTGAGCCTTAGTCCGGCTGCATTTCTTACCAGGGCCCATAGTCGCTCCTGTTGCTTCATAGTGTGGATGAGGAACCTGCTCTACCCGAGTGACTAGACTAGGGATGTGAGTGACTCGTCGACAGTTGGACAAGCACAAGCCTATCGGTTGACTAGTCCCTCAACTAGTTGCTTCTGGCTTGGGGGGAGAGCAGGAGCCAGCTTAAAAGCCAGTTCCCCCCCAGCACTGTCTCTGCAGGGGAGTAGCAGGGACTGGGCACAAGCCAGGAATAAGCTCTCACCCAGTCCCACTGCTGCGGTTCTGCCCTTCAAATGTATTAAGAACGGGCAGGCTCTTAATGCCTTTAAAAGGCTGATGAGTAGCAGGGGGAACCTGGGGTGAGCCAGGAACCAGCTGTCCTGGCTATGCCGGGTCCCCCACACAGCACTGCTGCTCTTGTCCAGTCTCTGCAAACTGGAAAGTGGCTCCTCGCCATCACAGCTTGCTGGCGCCATGCGCTGCATGGGAGTCCAGGGAGGGAGGCTGGCTTGGGGATTAGGGGGTTGGCAGACCCGGATTCCCCCCGTCTGAGGCCTTGCTCAGTATGTGCTGCGGTTCTGCCGGCCAGACAGGGCTCAGGGCGTGCTTGGGGAGGGAACTGTGGGGCTAGATAAACTCAGCCAAGCACTCAAACCTTCTGGCCTGTACGTCCTCATGACCTCGTCTGGGCTCGCCCTGCTGTTCGTCAGGAAGCTGCGTGGACTCTGCGGGGGGGGGGCCCGCAGGAGGTCAGGGCTGGTCTGTTGGTGTTGGAAATGCTTTTGGCAAAGGTGGTTTCCCTTTTAAAAACCAAGCCCCTAACACCGAGCTCCTGGGTTGGAAGGGCTGGCTGAGTCCTTGCCTGGCTCCTCAGGAGCTGCAGGGGCAAGAGGGGAGGCATAGCCTGCCCGTGTCACTGGTGCCCACGCTGCATGGGATCAGCACCTGCCTGGCGAGTGGGGGTCACTTGCTCCAGCTGCCAGTGGAAGAGGAGCCCGTGCCCGGTCCCTGGCAGCCCAGGAGCAAGGGTCACTCCGAGGTCTCCAGTAGAGCCCGGCTTGGCCTCGCTGGAGCACGTCCCTGCGTGGCACTGGGTACTGCACGGGGGGCTCCTGGTGGCAGGCAACCTCCTGTTCCTTGGTTCTCCAGCCTCCCCTTCCGCTCCCCCGACCCGCGGGCAGACGTGGCGACTGCAGCAGATCCAGGCTCACTCGGTGGCCGTCCTCGGGGTGCGGTGACCCTGAGCTCCCAGAGGGGTAGAGCAATGGCCTGTGAAGAGCTGCTGCAGAGCCACGCCCTGTCCTGGCACTCGTGTACCCTGGTCTCCCCACCATAGCTGGTGGGGCTAGAGCCTTTCCTGGTCCCATGGGGGTGAGATCGGGGTCTCCTGAAGCACGAGGAGTCTCTGGCTCCTACAGGCGCAGTGCTCCGAAGGGCAGGCTGCACCCGCAAGACTGCAGCGAGCAGCTGTGGCCTTAGTTCAGAGACTCCCCCGCGGGCAGGTCTCCTTTCTCCACACACGAGCTGCTGCCTTAAAACATCCCCATAGCGGCCACCAGGAGCCTCTTGCAAAGCTGTGGCCGGGCTGACTCCTGTCTGCCCCCTGGCAGGGCGCCTTTGACCAGCGCATGAAGACCTGGCAGCGTTGGCAGGATGCCCAGACCATGCTGCAGAAGAAACGGGAGACTGAGGCCAGGCTGCTGTGGGCCAACAAACCTGAGAAGCTGCAGCAGGCCAAAGAGGAGATCTCGGAGGTGAGGAGCACGGGGAGGCGCGCTGCCCTCGAGCCAGGGCACCTGCAAAGGGGGCCCTGGGGCAATGTCTTGCCTGGGCCGTAGCCTTGGCCACTGGTGGTGAAACCAGCACCTCAAAGGTCCCTCCAGCAGGCCCAGGACTGAGGCTCAGGGGCCTGTCTCTGGGCCAGGCAGCGGCTCTGTCCACCCAATGGGGAGCTGTCCTGAGCCCGGCAGGCGGGCAGCCTGCTCAGTGGAAGGGCTGGGGTCTGGCCAGTGACGTCTGCTCTGGCCCTGGTGAGAAGTATGGTTTAAGCAGAGGCCTGGTGCTGTAGGGGGCACTCTGCCCTCGGTGGGACCTGCCCAGTGCACTGTCCGCAGGGGGCCCTTCTGGAGCAAGCGACCTCGCTCCCTCTGGCTTGGGGTGGGGCCCTGCCAGTGGTGGCAGCTGGTAGCAGAGATACCGAGGGACCTGGTCTCCTGGGGAGCTCTGCTGCAGTAGCCCTGCGAGAGCCTGGGGGCTCTCCCAGAGGGGACCTCCAAGTTGGCAGGGTGGGGGCTGGCACTGGGCGGCTCGGTGCAGTGGCCGTACCGGAGGAGGCAGGGAGTCGGCCAGGCCCTGGGCGTGGCATTCACCTACCTCCCGCTCTTCGCAGTGGGAGTCCCGCACGACGCAGTATGAGCGGGATTTCGAGCGGGTTTCTGCCGTGGTCCGCAAGGAGGTGATCCGGTTTGAGGTACGGGGCCCCGCGTGCAGTACCAGACCTGACCGCCCGCTCCCGTCTTCGTTCCCCTCCGCCTCTGGCTGCTGCCGGCTGCCCCGCCGCTGCTCCGGGATGAGTGGTGCAGGGCGCGGGAGGGGCTCCTCCA